AAGGATGTTTTCACATTCATTTGTATATTTGTTTCGATACATCTGGAAGGGGATCTTTTATCAATTATCAAATTATTTTTCTGTCCCTCGTCTGATCCAAAATTACAAAAAAACGTGTTTTTCCTTAACTTTTTCCAGATTTTTCCAGCCGCAGTAAGCAATCAGCAGGTGGTTGGGGTCAAAGGTCAGGGCCCAGTGACCATGAGGCAGGCGGTGGAGGCTCAGGTGTTAAACCCCTACTGCGAACTAGGAGAACACGGTGAGTAGAGGAAATTTACTTCTCTGGTACATTTTATTACGTTAATATACAACTTCTTGTCGACTCTAATAATCCACTGCTGCATTTGTGTGTTTCAGGCCTGCGTCAGATCCTGACAGATGTGATTGATGAGGTGAGACGGTCGATAAATCAGGACATCGACGGTGCAGAGATCCTCCACAGTCTGCTGAACGCTTCCTGGCTGCAGTCGCTGCTCAAGGTCAACACTTTTTATTCTTTAATGTGGCTACATGCAAAATATTAACATTTACCCTGCACCAAAAACTAATTTTTTTGTGGTTAAATTTTTGTTTTCTCTGAGTTTATACTTATATTGAGATATTTATTTATTTAAAACATTTTTGTAGTATAATTAACCCTGAGGTGGATCCTGTCTGTGATAAATCCAGTAATACAATGTTGCCCAAAGCCAATTTCTCATGTATATTTAGTGATTATTCAATTACTTTCTTAAATCTTTTGTTTTATGTGTATTTATTGTAACTTTCATATTCAGTCCTCTTGGTTTATTTGCAGTTTGTGTTTGCAAGTTTAAGTTAAGTAATTATAGTTTTGTATTTGTTATTTTATTTATTAGTGTTTATTTTTGTTTCATTTTAAATTTTTGTTTTAAATTCAATTTAGTTTCACTTTGTTTGACAATGACAATGTTTTTGCCCAGTAGGATCAGAATGTCGACTTTGAGAGTTTCAGTATCTCTAAATGTAGATGATCACTAATTTAATGACATGAAAAAGAAATTTGAACATTTAATCACAAATTAACATCAAAGATTGATCATATATAACAGCCTCGCAGAATGTTTTCCTTCAAGCTTTTTAACTGTTCACTGAACATTACCATAACTGCTTTTCATATTTAAGTTTTAATCATTTGACAACATTGTTTTCAGGTTTATGAGTGTCTTCAAAGGTACCTGAGAGATTCCCCGGCACCGGCTCTGAACTACGCTTCAGGACTTTCACTTCAGGTTGCACTCAGATTTGTTTTTATCAATAATTTATGAATCGCATGAATTTTTCAATGGTAGGATAATGTGTGGTTTCTTGTCTTAGTTGCTGATCGACATTAGAGCGTTGCCGAGCTGCTCTGAAGAAGCCAAAGAGCTCTACCGCCTCCTGAGACAGCCACACCTGCAGGTGAGAAACCACGTCTTCAGTTTTTTGGTCAAAGTGCAAAAATGGCTGATAAAAGTGCTTTGAATACAAACTGATTGAATTATTAATAATTTATAGTCATTTACATTGACTTTTAATGACACACACATAAAAACAAGTTGGAATAAAATCAGTTTACATGTAAATATACTATTATGCATTTTTATAACCTTGAACTGTTCCATAATAATATTTTAGGTGATTGTCAATAAAGAATTGCACATTTTTCTTGTTATTTGGGTTAATATACTTTGTTAAGTTGACAAAATAAAGGAAAGTTGGTTGTTTTAAGTTGTTTTGACCACCAGTGCTGCAGTTTTCAATCAAAAAACTGTTTGATTTTCCTGTTTTGTAGGCTCTATTATCAGCTCATGATACGGTGGCCCAGAAGGACTATGAGCCAGTACTGCCACCCATGCCAGACGAGCTGCCGGATGATGAGGAGGCCACCAGGATCGTCTGCCTGGTCAAGAACAAACAGCCTCTGGTGAGCTGCACAGGAAAAGTCTCCTCATTACTTGTCAAAATATAAAACCTGCAAATTAAGTTTGATTTAGGGTGCTTTTCTTCTGCTTTGATACTTTTCAGAAGAGCTTAGTTGTGTTACAATCCCTGTACATGAGGCCTGAGTTGACTCAGTGTTTATCCTTACCTGGAGATGAGGTCATATTTTTATGGGATCACCCCTGTTATTATGTATTAAAGTCATTTTTAATCCCTCTTTGCAAAAACATGTTTTTAGGGACCAGGGAAACCTATCTGAGTGTAAAAAAGCCTTCAGACCATAAACTTAAACAACAAAGAAATTAGTCACAGTCAAGAAGGTTAAGCTTAAAGGTCATTTTGGTGAATATTGGGACTACAAGAGTTCTAATGGAAAGTATTGCCAGCAAGTTCTGAAGATTTTGAAATGAGAAATACAAGAACATATACAACCAAAACCGCTCACACATAAAATAGCAAGCGAATTATCGTAATATATGGAATAGAACTTATAACAATTAGGTACAGAAACAGCTTCTAAGATACCAGAATATGTTATAAAATATAAGCTTTTTCAGAGTTTAACACACGGCTAAGACGACAAAGGAATTGTATTATTGTATCAACATTCAACCTTATAACCTTCAAGACGAAAGTACATAGTTTTAGGTAGGTGTTCCTAATAAATTAGCAGTTGAGTGTATATTGTGCAGTGTTCAGGCTTCTCAGATGTATCTCTGTTGCTGCTTGTTCCATTGATACCAAATACAGATAATGTTTAAACTAGTTCTCCTAGCTATAACAGTTTTCCAATTTCAACCAGTCCTTTGTTTTCCTTTTATAATAACTATGGACTAGGGCTGCACAATATGGTAAAAACATCATATTGTGATTATTTTAAAGGATACTTCACTTGCAATAGGAATCAAGATTAGTGGGAATTATCATTTTGCATTAGAAATTAAATTTTCTTTTGAACAAAACAACTATTAACATCATGATAATGTGACATTGTCGGTGTCTGAGCCAAACAAACATGTTTTCTTTCATCTGGAGGACAAGATTTGTAGACCAGAGCGTCTCTGCAGCACTACAGTACTTCATTATAATGCTGGTTGTTACATGTTTTATCTTTAATTAATTAATTGTGCAGCCCTACAGTAGACATACGGTAAGACATGATAGAATATTTACACAAAACATAATAATGTCCCGCCACCGCTCAACATGACTCTGAAACATTAGAAAGTAATTTGTGTGGGGATATAATGGCCATAATACAGTATAGAGGTGTCTTTTGGCCATATAGTGTAGTTATTTTGACTGCATTGTATTTGGTAGGATGCAGAAATATCAGGGGTGGATATATCACAACCTTTGCTCATAAAATGGTGTATCTGTGTGGCTTGATGGTGGAGATTAGTAGAAAAATATATTTTGTGATTTGAGTGAACTGACCCTTTAAGCTGCTCATAGAAAAAGTCTCATATTTTGTTTATTCACATTTTCAATAGTTTTTCTATCTGTAAACCATGAACCACAATGCTATTCCAATACTGTGGAAGCAGATGCTCTGCGATATTTTAATATGTAGGCTTTTTTTGTGTGTCAGATATAAATTAAACAGCTGACTGCATCCAAGAGACCAGATGTTTGAATTTCATAAGCTTTCATTTGAATAATTGTTTGATAATGCTATAGATAATTTCTTAACAGCAGAAAAACAAAATAGTTTGGAGACATTCATTCATTTAATATCAATTTCTGCAAAAAACTTTCTGCGTTTTTATCACTAAAGCTTCAATCTCTATTTCCATAGCAGGTTTTTTTTTCGATCTTTTAAACTTTGTTCCAGTGGAAGTTCTCAATCTCTGTATTGAACATTCCTCTCTGCCTTTGAGTGACTCTGTTGTCTCACAGCTTTGTGACCATCAGAGAGTCAGGCTGCCGAGTACATCCTCCCCGCATGCAAAAAGCTCCAGAGGGGCGGCCCGCAGTCACTGGGACACCCTGAGGCGTCTGACCCAGCAGAGGATTCATCAAGGTGGTGCATTCGGGGTCCAGAACCCCGCTGCTGGGAGCCTGGATGTCAAAGATTCGTTATGGTGTAGCACTCGCAGAGGCAGCTACCCGCCGACTGAGCAGTTGCGTCACACAGAAGCAGCTCGACCATACCCTCCACCCCGCTATAAGCCAATGAGTAACTGTCAGATGTGTTATAGCAAGCCGATGAGCCCGTGCAGAGTGTGTTACACCAACCTGCTCTGGGAGCAAAGTCTGAACCGCTCTGCACCTTCGGTCTACAGCTCTGTTCTGATCGGTAAGAAAAGTTGTTTTTTCATCATCCGTCATTGAGCCCTCTTCTTCCATCATTCATCACGCTACTTGTGGTTCCTTCATGGATTAATAACGTCTGTTTTTTTGTTGGAGACAACATCGATGAAGAGTTAGAGAGTGGAAATGAAGCAGCAGAGTCCGCTGATGCCCCGTCCTCGCTTCCCACAGCCCGGCGGTGGACTATGTCTCCCCCGTGTCTCACTGTACCCTACTACTCCAATGAAGATGGCTACCTCCAGTCAGGCCTGCCTCCCAGGCGAAGCCCTCGCATCCACACTGCTCCCCCGAGCCCCATGCGCCCTCATCGTCTGGTGGATTTGCCCCCAGTGCCCCCTGTGGAGCTCGCCAAGCAAGAGAGTCTGGATGAACTGAGGACGACAGTGCAGCTGGCTGCCAGCTCCATGGAGAACAGCACCAAAGACATGAAACTCCTCGGGGAGAAGATGGCTGCTGCTACTGAGCGCATGTCGGACACGGTGCAGGACAACTCCCAGGCCTTGGTCCTCCTCACGCAGGTGGTGGACCGGCTTCAGACACTTCTTGCCGCCACCAGGTCTGAGATCAACTTTCCAAAACCTGCAGTCACTGAGCAAGACGGCACACCCAAGAAAAGTCAAACTCCGAAGAGCAGAGAGCAACGTCCATCCCTGACACACCAATCCAGATGTTCCCTCCCCTCTCTTAAATCCTCCACCTCCTCCAGCTCTCTCAGCAGCTCCCTGGATGCCCCCTCCACCTCTCAGGGGACCAGCTGTTTGTCTGTATCTTGCCGTGGGTCACCCCAAACTACCTTGAAAACCAAGAGTACCCCTTTGCCGCAGAAGAAGCACGCTGAGCTTCAAGCGTCCAAGCATCTTCTGACCAATGGCCTGCACGATGAGGAGACCTCCTACACCGCGAAAGGATGTCGTTCAAACCAGCGGAAGAAGAGGAGGAAGAAGGCGACATGAGGGATCCTGAAGAGTGTCCAAACAGTGGACTTCTTGGGACCTTTAAGTGGTCTCCGCAGAGTGGCTGACCTGCAAACACGCACAGTGGTAGATTTTGTTATTTTTTGTGTCATTTCTCGTGTTTTTTTTTCGTCGTGTTGGATCATTTCATTCCTTCCACTCCTGCTTTCTTCTCACCAGTGATGTCGGGAACTTCATCAGTATCCATTTGGAGCTTTGGTTGTATTTTGTTTGTGTTTAAACTCATGAATTAAACTTTCCAATCTCCTCCCATTTAACCTCCATCAGTTTTATTTATTTTCATCTGTGTGATTCAGTTTGACCGACACATGCCTTTACTCCACATTGAAGCAGGTGTATTTATTCAGTGTTTTCATCTTTTCTGTTCTAGGGAGCAACTATAAAGAGAAACGAGATCACAGGGGAGATTTTTGTTGCTCGGGTGATTCATGGAGGGCTGGCTGATAGAAGTGGTAAGCATTTTCTCTCAAGGATAATGTTTGTGGTTCTCAGTTTACTCTATGTCCCAGCTTTGTATCGTTAACTAGAAGTTGAAATTGTATTTATGATATGTTGGTGATATGACAGAGAGGGTACTGCCCTTTTAAGAACTTTTAAAATCTGGACTTCAAGTTCAACGGTAAACTTACTAGCTTTCCGAGCTTTTAACCCCATCTCACGGTCTTATTTCAGTCACTCATCACTTGACCAAAGTGTGTTTTTAAACCTGCTTTTTTTGGTCTGGTTTCAATCTGGTTTCATTTCCCCACTGGTCGCTTCATTTTTTCAAATTAATTCTGGAGTGGTTTGTCTGTGTTGATAATGTGATCCAACCTCAATCTGACCCAACTACAAGGCAAACTATCCAAGTTTGAGCTAAACAGCTCCCTTAGCCAGGTGCGCTTTGCATACTGGGATGCATATGAGAGAACTAAATAAAGTCTGACCTGGAACAAGTAAGTTGCCTTCTTGATATTTGGGCAGAGAGGACCTCCTTCAGGACCTTGTTCCTACATTCTGTTTTTCCCGCCCCAGACATCTAACCAATGAGTGGCATGGACTAATTGGTCAGCCGATTAATTGTGCCTATTGTTTGGCATTTTGATGAAAATGGCATTGGCAGATGTCTATGCTCATGAGGCAAAATTGTCAGTGTGGATGCTGTGAAACGATGTTAGCACTTTCCTGCTGTAAACATATGACTGAATTTCCTATAGAACGGAATAAAATTATACATGATTTTTCTTTGTTTTGATATCAGCATTAAATAATGGCCAAGATCAATCAACCGCTAGCCTGGACGTTCTCATTGGGCTTTTGAAGCATTGGAAATGTTAGTTTGACCGTGAGATGTGGTTTAAAGCTTTGAAAGCTAATCAGTGGACCTGTGAGCTTTTATAATTTTATTACATATAAACGTGTGTGTGTGTGTGTGTGTGTGTGTGTGTGTAGGTCTGTTGCATGCAGGGGACCGGATCATAGAGGTTAATGGTTTTCCTGTGGATGGGATGGAACCAGAGCAAGTGATCCAAGTTGTGGTAGGTCTTTAATGTTTATTATATTCGTATTATATATTAATTTACAATATTTGTTAATATTGTATTGCTAGTTAATCAACTTTTGTTTCTTTACAACAAATCAGCAAGCAAGGTCGCAAGGCACCATCATGTTTAAAGTCGTTCCCATCACAGAAAGGCCAGTCCACAACCAGACGATGGTAATCATCATCTACACCTGCCTCGTTTACACATTAAAGCTAAAAATCATCATAACAAACACACTTTCTTGGTGTTAGCTCTATGTGCGGGCCATGGCCGACTACAGCCCTCAGCAGGACCATACCATCCCCTGTGCTGACGCCGGTATGAGCTTCAGAAAAGGTGACGTCCTGGAGATCGTGGACCAGACAGACGCCCTTTGGTGGCAGGCCAAGAAGCTGCCCAGCAACACAGCATGTGCAGGCCTCGTCCCTTCCGCCAACCTGCTGAAACGGTCAGAGGAGTTTATTGATTTTAAAGATGTCCTTGTCTAAATTATCTTCTAACATCGACAACTACAATACCACAGGAAATGTTTGTAAGATCTGCTTCTTCTGCATTCCTTATGTTCATTTCTGCATGTCGTAACAGGAAGCAAAGGGAGGTCTGGTGGTCTCAGCCTTATCAGCCACATGGCTGCATACAGACCTGTAAGTTCACCCAAATTTCCTTTAATTAACTTATCTCAGACTTTATATAAAAGTCCAAACAGTTTCACATTTGACAACTTGTTCTCACAGCTGAGCTTTCATTGTGTTTCACCCCATGCTTACTGAAGTGAGCACTGTAGAGGAAGGTAAAGAACGATCACATTTCATGTTTTAGGCAAAACCAAAAACACCACAGTTAAAGTAGCTTTAGCTTCAAAATGAAATGATTTATTTGTTCTATTACAGATTAACTTTTTATTTCCATTCTTCACTCACAGAGGAAGATTTGATGGCCCTCGATGAGAAATGTGTTGAAGCAGGTAAAGTTTCACGTGTCATTTATTGCTTCCTTAATCTTTTATACACAAACTTACTGCATGTCTTTGCTGCTCTGTGATTAATATCCACCTGTTTGTTCTTCTTCCTGTCAGATGAGGAGGCATTTGAATCTGGTAGGTAAGTCTTTGTTGATTTAATCTGTTTTGCTGTTTTACGTGCAAAGTGTCACTCTGTCTCTTGTGTTTCATCTGAAGTATTTGTTATTGTTTCTGTTCCAAACTCTTCTGCTGTCTGACGGGGAAATGTCAGAGGAGCTCAGAGAAGGTGAGATTTTTGTTGTTGTTTTTTTGTCTTTTTATCTGCTCACAAATTCATAAAAGTGCTTGAAAAATACAGATGACCAAACATGACAAATAAGAGAAAAAATCAAGAAAACAAAAAAAATGAATTAACAAATAACAATCAATTTGTAATAAGTTAAAAGCATACATTGGTTTGGTTGGTAGTTTGATCATTTTAGTTACATTTCAAGCCAAATGCCAAAAATTTCCAGACTCTCAATAGCATTTAGGGGTGAACAACTGAATATAATAATTAATAATAATAATTGAGAATATAATCAGCAGAAGCATTTTTATCCATACGTCTCACTCTGCCACTCTGCTTCTTATCATGTCAGAGGAGGATGACTTCAGCAGCAACATTGGAGGGATTTATTTAAGTAAGTCTTCAACCAGCATGACCCTCACCTGCACTGACACCTGCACACTAAAAGTCAGGCCATGTCAATCAATAATTTTATGTTCCATGTATTGGTTTGCATGTATCACAGCTCCTTCCTAATGGATCTTTAACTTTTTCCCAGTGGGCTTCAGGCGCAGCATGCGTCTGTGTCGGAGGCGGTCTCACAGCATCATCCAGCCGTCCTGCCACACCCGCTGCCCCAGCAGCTGCTACAGTGCTCTCAACAGCCCCTACGAGGAGGTGGTGCGCTACCAGCGGCACCCACAGGACGCACACCGTCTCATCGCCCTCTTAGGTACAGTGACAACGGTGTCAGAATGGAGAGGAAATTAGCTTTACTATATAGTGGCCAACCAGTGTTTTAATTTATCTCATAAAACATGTATTTCTTAACAAAAGTGAATATACATGAAAAAAACAACAGCAAATCTGACTGAATTATGATTTGAGATGTTTTTGTTTATTCTCAGGCCCGTCTGGTGTGGGTGTGAATGAACTTCGGAGACGCTTGATTGAAATGAACCCCAACATCTTCCAGGGAGCAGTACCATGTATGTGACCAAATTTAGAATTAACTAAATGACTGAAACGTTTATTACAAACACACTAAAGTCCTGTTTTTATGTTTCTTCAGAGAGGTTCAGATCAGTTTGTCTAATAATATTTTTTCAGCTGTTAACTGATTGTGTGTCTCAAAGAGAAACAATAACATATATATTATAAAGTTTCCTTTTCCCCTCACCAGACACCACAAGACCACCCAAAGGATACGAGGAGTCTGGCAGAGAATATTACTTCACCAGCCGAGAAATCTTCGACAACATGGTGTATAACAACAGGTACGACAGCCTCTGCTGTGAAACCATGAATAATGAATGAATGAATGCAGTGCAGACACAATATCAAGGAAATCAAGATTTTACTGCACAAGGTTGAATAACGAAGAATTTGCAGTTCCTTCATGCTACACACAGAAAAAGCTAATTAAATTCATAGAATAACATAGAAAATATATATAATGAACCAATGTGTACAGATATTTATATACATATATGCAGGAAATAATTCTGCAGTGCATCATTTGAATTATGATTTTCAAATTCTAAAATGCTCTTTTACATTTTTGTTCTCATTCGTTCTGTCTGCAACATGACAGTGCTTGTTTGACTTCCCACTCAACGATGGAGCATTAAATAGAGGGAAATTTAAAGACTGAGAAAAGTGACGACCCCTGATATGTTTTATTGATATTTCATATTATACTCAATGTATAACAATAACAGTACAGAACTGATTACCTGTACAATGAACCCAAACAGTGAACACAATAACTGCAGGAAGTCTGCTTAAAATGAGAGCTGAATATTGAGCAGATTATTTCCTGTGAATATTGATCAGAAATAAGATTTCCATAATTTTAGAAACACTTTATACAATTCTCAATTCTGTATAATGTATTTTCTTTTAATTTAACAATCATACTTAATAGGCTTCCTATTTGTCTTCTTCCTGATGCTTGGCCATTATTCTATTAGCTCTTTGGTTGATTCACCTGTGTACTTTTCTAATGCAGGATGAGGTTTTTTATTTGTTTTTTTGAATATAGTTTGTGTTCAGGTTTTTTAAACGTATATCTTAAGTAATAATTTACTTTGTGATGTCATCAAACTTTTGTTATTGTTTTGATTTGTGTGAGAGACCCCCTACTGGCAGAAATTAAATTTGTCACCTGTCTGTATATTTGTCTATCTCTTTAATGTCCTGCAGGTTTGTGGAGTACGGGGAGTACAAAGGGAACCTGTATGGTACCACTGTCGAGTCTGTAAGGGAAGTTTTAAACAGTGGAAAGATCTGCGTCATCGACATCGAACCAAATGTAAGTAAGACATGCAAATGTTTTGCGATGAAGACACAGAATGTGCATAATAATAACAGAAATTCCAGTCGACAATTTAAGCCACTATTAAAAATCAAGACAATATTTTTTCCAGAATGATGTTTCTGTTAATCAATCATAAATTATAAAATACTTTTTGTGCTAGTCACTTTTTATTATACATACAAAAGTTTTAATTTAAATTGTTTTTGTTTTATCTCTTCATTCAGGCCATTCAGGCAGTGAGGACCCACGAACTGCGGGCCTACATCATCTATGTGAAGCCTCCACCGTTGGAGCGCCTCAGAGAGACCAGACAGGACTCGTACATTACCACCAACTACTACGTCAACCGACCGTTCAAAGTAAACTCTCCCAAGGACACATTTTATTATTTTGTTCCGTTTCAAACCAGCTTTTCTTATACATTTCAACAATATTTCTAAGAAAGATCAGATCATATCACACTGTATTGTATTTTAGACAGTTTTAGTATCTTTTAGCAAGTCCAGTGCAAGTGAAAACATGTTTTTCTCTTGATTTTAAGTTTTAAAATTTTGTGAAAGGAAGCTTGACAAAAAGAACAACTAAAGGGTATACAAAATTTTGCACAAATTTGAGGTGATGGCTGGACGAAATGCTTCTAAAACATTAAGACATAAAATCAATGTTTATAAAAGTATTAGAGAAATTATTAGTGAAATAATGGCTATTGCTTTTAGTTGCCAGAATTGCTATGTTCCAAAATTACACCCAGGTGAAAAAAATTCAGTATAATTAAAGCTGGATTTGACTTTCCCCAAACAGGAGGAAGACTTCCAGGAGATGGAAGAAGCTTCCCGGAAAATCGAGTCCCACTACTGGCAGTTCTTTGACCATGTGATTGTCAACGATGAGCTGCAGGACTCCTGCGTCCACCTGCTGGCAGCGGTGAGGAAGGCGCAGGACGAGCCACAGTGGGTCCCAGCCAGCTGGATACGACCCACCGCCGAGTCGTGAGGGAGGACGGAGGAGACAAGGGGACAAGAGAGATGTGACCCCTGTTATCATGGCAGCAATTATTTTATCTATCTCATTTTACAGATTCCACACTGTAAAACAAAAATCTTTACATGTACATTAATTTTGTGTCTAACGTTGTTTTGAGGAGTACGGCAAAAGAAATCTTGATATTTTTATCTTGTGCCCTTCATCTGGCTCCGTAAGTCACTTCATATCCTCAAAGTTAAGATGGAGCTGAACACAAGCCCAAAGAAATCCCTGAAACTGTATCA